TCTGGATAAGATATTTTGAATTTTGTTTTGACCCAAACTCTATAAAAGTATTTTGGTTATTATTTTTTGAATGTAAAAAGATACACTCAATTTGTCGAAGTTTCTGTTGGGAAATAAAATCCCCGACTACTTCCATGCGCGTGCTGAGAATACACGTTTCTTAAAAGTGCCGCCACCACATACAATAATTGTTTTGAAGAGAAAATCTGTGGATTATAAATATTTAACATGTTGAGCAAGAAATAATAAACACGTAAAAAATGTAAACAGCCGGGAAGGTACATTTATAACAACAACAGTTCTATCTACGAGGATACGAAAAACCTATATTCTAAAGTATTAGCTCGATCCTAAAGGTTAAAACAAATATGTGACCCTTCAGAGGATAATTACTTTTTGCCTTAAAGGTTTTTTTCGAGTTATATTTCTCTCCTAATGAGCTATAATCTATAGCTTATGGGGTATAATGATTGAGGAGTTACACCCTTTTTGGAGGGCAGGATTTTTACACCCCGAGGGTTATATATGTGGACCACCTTTTAGGGGTTAAAAAGCCCACTGTTATTTTTGAAAGTGCATGATGGTATGTTTGCTGAAAGGACTTGACTAATTTTTTGTTCAAGGCATTCTAGTAAAACAACTTGTTAAAACACAAATCTGAAATTGTATGTAAAAAAAAAAAAATACTTTGTGCTATATACGTATTTCTACAGATATAAAGAAACATTTGTCTGGTGTCTTGACGTTAGAAGTTCTTGTGAGTAACTGGCTGGGCGAATTTCGTTGACATTTGGTTGAAGAACTCGGACGAAACCCGCAAAGATAGCAATGACAAATGTAAGCTACTGAAGAAACGGTTTTTGTGATACTACCGTTTCAATTATCCATCTTGATACTGTCTTAGTGAATACTCTGCCGTATTCAGTAGATCTGCATGACAAATGACGCACGTGGATACCGTCGTGCCATCTCAGTGAAGCCAACGAAATAAATCAATATCTGTCCGAGATCTTTATCTCGCAAGGAACCGATTTTGACCCACCAAAGATCAAATCCAAATCGATACACACAATCAGACGAGTGATTTAAATTTGACAACCATTTACATGAAGTGATACAAAAATGATGATTAATGCCGCGAGCAGCACTGATACTTCGAATGAACAATTCCTGTGCTACTGCTCAAACTTGTGGAAGGGGCGGCCCACGCCTCTATTTATAGCAATGGTTTTTAAGCCTAGCATTGCCAGATCCATGTGCTGGTATACATTTAAAGAGTTGAGAAACTTAGCTCCGAAGTAACTCAGTGATTTTTGAGTGTTTCAATTTAAGAGTCGTCATATATTCATAATACTAGTATAATCCGAGGATCTTAAAAGGTTTTATTCTGATGCTCTTATCACATGAAATAAATCGTACGAAAATATGACAATGGATATTTTAAATTATTGAATGGAAACCGAAATAGGTCATGTTCTGAACGCTTTCCAAAGCCTAAAAATGAAAGACGAATGATTCTGTAAAAATCGTTGTTTTAGCACCTATAGAAAAAGAACTAACCAAAATAGAAACTGTTGCAACACTGGTGTCAAGAGTACGATTATTTTCGTAAAAATCAAATCAAAAGTGGACTTTAAGATTACGACAGTGCTTGAATGAGATTTAATGTAAATAAATTATGAAACAATGAAAAAAGATCAAGAAAAAAAAAAGAAAATTAGAAGGAAGAGACAGAAGATGAAAAAAAAGATAAATAAAATAGAAATAGAAAATTAAAAGAAGAAACACAAAAGTGCATCATTGAAGTAAAAAGAAAGTACAGAAATATTATAAAAACGACATTGAAAAAGTATTATAACAATAAAGTCAAAGAATACAGAAAGATAATAATAGCATAATCGAATAAGCCATTATATAGAAAGACATCAATGCAAGAATAAATCATTTGAGAAACTTAATTGGAAAATGCAAAGATCAAACCAATCACAACTCTCTCTGTTTCTACTCAAGAATTTCAAACCCAAACATCAAATATGCATGCATTATACCTATGACCACTACCAGTTTGCCACCTATGACTGCAGGACCTTCTTGGATTATTCCAGAGATCCTTCTACTTTATCAAGTTACTAACTGGAGTGCCCGTCCGTTGGACGCGTGAAATGGAAATATTAAAAAAAAATCGTTTGTAACAAAGCATAGGAAATTGTGCTTCTATTTTTTTCTTAACATAATAAAACATCAAAAATAAATATATAAATAAAATAAATAAAGGTACTAGTACTGAAAAGAAAGAAATAGTGTTTTCAAGAATTCTATCAGTATCAAATTAGATGGGGGTCCAACCCCTGCTCATGACCTTCCTCATGTCATTCTGTATCACTGTGTCGAGTTTGGTTAGAAGATACATGATGTGTGGATAATTGATATTGAGGAAAAATAGATATCGGGAATGGACTTCATATGGAAATTTCCTTGAAACATTTTTTCCTGTTTTGATCAAGAAAATCGTATACACTGCATGACAGTTTATCAAAGATTAAACTTTCAGGTACAACAAGGATAGAAATACAATATAACGACGATAAAGGCACACAAAGACAGTTAGTCCAAATCAAAATTGTCCACTACAACCATCTTTGAACGTACATTGGCAGAAGAACAGCCAATTGGTTAGCTTTCAAGAAGACTTTGACAGAGATAAGTCAACCTGCTGGAGAGCATGAGGTTCCTGCCGATATCATTTACAGAGTACCACCGGTAGATTCCCTCACCCATCTACCCCAAGATAACTACCCCAGTGACAAGACAGGAAGAGTTGGTAAAGGGCAAAAGATCATCCCATCTTATTACCATAAGCCACAGGGAAAAAAATACCCAAACGATTTTTGGTGGCTGGAAAGACTAAGGACAGTAAATTAGTGAAGTAAGAACGATTTTTGGTGGCTGGAAAGACTAAGGGTAGTAAATTAGTGAAGTAAGAACGATTTTTGGTGGCTGGAAAGACTAAGGACAGTAAATTAGTGAAGTAAGAATGTTTTTGTTAATGATTTTTTTCTTTGTTCTTTGTTTTCTACATTTAATGGTTGTGATATCTATATTTACGAATATTAATGTTGTTAATTGTCAAGAATTACTTCTTTAAATTTGGTTTTGTTTGTAATTAAGCACAAAGCTACCCAATGGGCTATCTGTGCTCTGCCCACCACGGGTATCGAAACCCGGATTCTAGAGTTGTAAGTCTGCAGACGTACCGCTGTGCCACTGGGGGGCATTTTAAATTTGGAAGTACCATTGCTTTCTTTGTGTAATAGGATTATACAAGAAGCTTCAAAATCTAGTACGGGGGACAGTGTGGGAGGCTTTGTTTTATACTTAGTTGCGTGTATTGTTGTTTGGCGGAGCTTAACGTCTGGAATTTTCTCCAAAGCCATGCATACATACAAAAGAGAAAAAAAAGAGTTAGGCTAGAGTAAGTGAGTAAGCCTGAGTCAATTAATTTGTAACCAGCGGATAATCTAATACAGTGAGTTAGTTCAGTGCTGCGATATATACAGTTCCTATTTCGACGATTTCTTAGAGATACAAAATAAAGCAAGTAAGAATAATTTCTGTTTAGATAGTTTATACATAAAGTTAGGCTAATTGACGAATGTTTATTAGATTAACCGTGAAGTTTGAAGTTCAACAAATAAATCGTGTTTTCTTATCGTTAATTGGACTGGAATGAGTCCCTAAGATTTCGCAAAAAGTTGTACTTTTGTTGATTTAAATGTCTCCGAAGAACACCGGTTTTAATTTTACAAAGTTTCAAGTTTATTCATGAAAGGACATTTTCAAATGCACAGATGGTTAATCCCGCCAGATTTGAGACTTATTCAGAAGGGCTTCATTTGGCAAAGAACACTTTCAAAAAACGTCAGGTCTCTAAGAGAAACTTTCAAATATAGCTCATTAACATGGACTTAATTTGACATAAAAAAAAACATAAATTCTGGCTATGTTATTCAGACATACATCACAAGACTACCCTATAAGCCATGAATTAACGTGTTTTTAAAAGCACACTCAATTACAAATGTACTTGGATCAGCCTCTCAACATTGAAGTGCCCTTTACATGTATACTACATCATAAAAATACTTGTTATTAAACCTTGGGCTCTTGGAAATGTTTGTTTGTTTATGAATTTCGAGCAGAGCTATGCGAGGGCTATCTGCGCTAGCCGTCCCTAATTCTGAAATGTTACACTAGAAGGAAGGCAACTAGTCAAAACCACTCACCGCCAACCCTTGGGCTACTCTTTACTAATTAATAGTGGGATTGACAGTCACATTATAACGCCCCACAGCTGAAAAGGCGAACATTTTCGGTGATAGGATTCGAACTCGTGGTCCCCGGATTGCGAACCGAGTGTCCTAACCATCAGGCCGTGCCAGGCTTTGGAAATATCCCTAGCTAGATGTAAAAAAACTCAAGAATTAGCACGAAATATTGTGGTAGTAAAAAATTGTTTACCCGTTAGAAAAAAAATATACTATAGCTTGTTCACCGGAACAACAAATCTGGATTTCTGTGTTCATTATAGTAGCTCTTCTCATCTAAAGTGTTATTTCATAACACTCAAACTACCAAGCTGGCAGTCGTAACTGACCAAACAACGACACAATCTCGTGTAATTTTATAGGAAGTGATTTGTAACGGAACTGTATAATTCATCTGACGCAATACGTTACAGTCAGTCCTATATTTAATAATTGAAAAAACCTCTGGCGTTAGATTATAATTGACAGATCGATAAATAGCGCTTAGGCCTAACCGTTCCAGTGCAGACATACTCCTGGTTGGATAGGAATGATCACTGTTGCGAATAGCAATGTTCAATTTAAAAATACTACGATACTTTGACAAACGTTAGCACTATCGATCGGTTTGACAACACGACTACTTCCCCCTACCTTTACATCGCTGAATGGACCTGTCCCTCAGGTGTACGGCAGGTTGTGATTATATGCTCTCCATGGAAACCATCTGAAATTGACTAGAGTGACATTTCACAATTAATATCGATCATTCTTTTTTGCTCATTTTGCTTTCTATTGGCCAGACAGTTCTACTTACCTGGGGGACTATCCTGTCAAAAAAAAACTGTTTAGTGAATAGTTTAAACAAGATCCAATTGATGGGAACAACTTGGACATGAATGCTGTGTGCTAGCAGGTGATTAGTGTGAGAAAAGGCTTACACTTTAACTGTTTTTATATCTTTATTTTACGTAAACAAATGTTCAACAACAATAATAGTACGAGTCTCTCAGCCAAGAGTATTTTATAGAGTAGAAAAGTGAGCGATGCTTATCATTTCGTGCTAAATGTATAACGTGTATGGAAGTTTATTTAACGACATTTTGCTTCTGCTAACTTATATTATGGCGTAATAATAATATAATGTTTAGTAAGAAGACAAGCAAATGAACAGCAACATAACATTGTCCAAAATCTAGTACCACACGAGCTTCGGGTAGGGCATTGCGACTTGATTTAAATTAATTTGATTTCTAATTTCACCACCAGGTGTCACTCAATTACTACTAGTGGTGAGCTCGCGTTGTTTGGCCAATCTATCTGTGTGTTACTTGCATTCCTTTCCGGTGAATATACTTTGCTCGACGTGAGGATTCTGTTACTTAACCGACACAATATATATATATATATATATGTATGTGTGTGTATCAACCACAGTTCATTTAAAAAAATTACTGATGCCGAAAAATAACCTTCTTTCAGAGATGGTGTAATGCATTATGGCGTTGATTTACTGGAGGAGATTGACGAACTGATTCAAGATGACCCCCTAAGAGATATGACTACTGAAAAGACAAATCACAGGTACAGATTTAGGAGGTAATTGAGCTTTTCTAGATTAGATTATATTAATGAACATTACAAAATATTTAAGAGCTTAGTTTATCGTCAATTAATGTAATTCATGTGGACATTAAACTTTAGGTAAAGGGGAAAAAAACTTCTAACAATCGCGACTCTTCAGCTTATAACGTTTGGATATTACATTCTACATATCAGTTTATTCTATCAATAATAATACCTTCCCCGGGAAAGTCTACACATGTTTGCAATATCTGAGCAACATGTTTTAGAACAAAGGCCACAATGCTGTGCCCACCGCGGGGAACTGAACCCTGGATTTTAGTGTTGTAAGACAGTAGACTTATAGGTGACTCCACTTGAGTAACTTATTGTAAAATAAATATATTAGTTTATAGATGACACCTTTGTTAAAACAAACAGTTGAATAATATTGTATTTTTTCCATCACATACAAAAATATTT